TGCGCGTGACGTAATAAGAAAGGAATTCGGGGGAAAGGGCCCAAATATGGGCATACAAGCAGGTGTGGTCATGTTTGCAGATGTGGCTGTTGATTGGCTGTTGGCTAATTAATTTATTTACTACCATTTTCACGTACAATAGGGGGATTACCAGCGCGGCTGGTCAACGCGGTCTCGGCCGTGGGCCATCGGCTGGTCCACGCGGTCTCGGCCGTGGGCCATTACTATTTGATACTCTGATATTGGATACCGATTCGTGTGATTCCTATAAACATTTCACCTAACTACGAACTAGTTGGAAGAATTATAGCTGCATGGATGCCTGTATATGATTTTAACAAACACTGAAAATACTGACGCAAAAACTAGGCAGATATTTTGCTCTTCTCTGTTGGAACAACGCAAGCGGGAGGTCAATGACCTGCGCCCCCGCGAGTACTGTAAACAACGGTACGTAATGTGTATCGTCGGCGCACGCGCACGCGCCACGGTATCAACAATTTTCCACAATTTTCACCGCCTAGTATTATATATTCTGTTATCGATTTCTGAAGAATCACCAAAATTGTAGAGTGTATCTCCTAGAAAGTCCCTTACTAGTACTTGAAGCGATCGTTACCGCCATGTTGTTCACTTTATATGACATACAATGCAGAGAGTATTGGAAACGTGTCCAGATAGCTCGGTTGGTAACGCGCAGGGCTGCAAGTCCAGACATTACGAGTTCGAACCCCGGTACACTGGATATTTTTAATTATCCTTTTTACAATTTTTAACAATTATAACATTTTTAACAATTTCAACAATTTTTAAACCATTTTAACCATTTTACATTTTAACAATTTCAACATTTAATTTTAACATTTTCGTTTTAATATCCATTGCTTTGCTTTTAACATTCCAAAACTGATTGTTCTTACTCAAGAATTTCAATAACTTCGAATGTTAGTCTTTTGTATTTTTTCTCAACATACAAACCAAAATCACTTTGATGTTGTCACAAAAGTAACATCTGTGCGCGCATCGGTTTTCGTTCATTTAAAACATCTGGAAACTAAGCAAACATACTCAGTAAATTGATTGCTGTAATTCCCGATTTTTTTTCACTGTACCGCAACGCAAGCGGGGGGTCAATGTTCACGGTTTTCACTGTCACCTCTGTATTGTGAACTTATCATTACAGTTAGGAAATAATTCCTGGACTTTCTTTTTCCTGCAACTGTCACCACCGTGAATATATACTTCCGTGAACATGTCCATTTTTCTCAGGCCGTGAAAATTTTGCTTCCGTTAGTAGTAGTTACAATCTCGTCAAAAGTGTAAAGTAAAGCTGTCGAGATTTAAAGTGCGTGTCGTTGTATCTTTGTAAAAAAAGGGAGATAATTGCCAAGTGCCAGTTTTGTAAATACCTGTCGAGATTCAAACAGCTTGTCCTTGTATAATTGCAGTATGATTTATTTAGAATCTCTCATTTTTGTTTGGGGAAGGGTATGGAGTGAAATTCCTACATTTGCTCCGAAGCAAATGTTGGCCTTTCTAGTGTTTCTCATTCTTTCCCTGCCATGTCGTAAAATGTGGTGAACCCATCGCTATATTTGCTCCAAAGCAAATATTGGCCTTTCTAGTTTCAAAATCCTTTTTTCTGTATATTACTTGAAAATTACATGTGAAGCAGAGCTCAATATGTATCATTCCAACTTGCACAGCTTGTGATACTGCTAGCTGGCAAAATACCACACTCTTTTATACAAAGTATATACAATGTAGTTTACTACTTTGTGCCTTTACACAAGAGGGTATCCATTGTCCAAAATTCACTACTAGTAGTGAAAGAATCTTACTTTCCTCAAGTGTTCTCTTCCTTCTTAAACCAAGTCGTCCTCCACTTCTTGACCTTGAGGTAGTTCATTCCTTGACCCGAGGGCCTGTCTTAGCCTCTCCCAGAACAGGACCCTTCCCGGTGTGTCCTGCGGCCAGACCAGGTAGGTTTTCTTGGACATGAGTTTCTGCAGGAGATGGTAGCGAGACAGTTGAGTCACCGGGATGTTCTCCAGCAGAACTAGGATCAGGACATCCTTCCCCTCATCGAAGAGCCTGTGCCGGGCTATCTTGAACTCCAACGTGCACCACCCGCTGCGAATGAACCTCCTGGTCAGCAGACAGACCGTTTTCCTGCTCTGCAGGATCCCGTCGGTGATGTTGTCTACGATGTCTCTCCCCCCTATAAAGTCGCGGTCAGCAATGCACAGTCTGTAGTGCGGCCGCCGTTCCTCTAGGTTGGGGATGAGGTGGTTTTGGACCCAGCGCAAGCTTTCACAGTTATACGACACAAAGGCGTCGTAAAGGATGCGTTGGTTTCTCCTCGGTATGGCCTTGTAGCCGCGAGCTTTTCCACGCAGGTAGAGGAAGCAGTACTGTAGATACGGGTGGTATTTTCCAAGGAGAAAGGCTGCAATGGTATATAAGAAGACAAGCGTGGACGTGACAATACACATGTAGTAGGCTGTGTGAAGGTCACAGTCAAGGTCGAGGTCAAGCAGAGGCAGGTTCCTGCGTTCCTCGGGAGAAAAGCAGCTGTAAGGTGTCCTGGAAACGAGATTCTGTATCCGAACAGAGGTTGTGTTCTTGATCCACTCCACGAAATCCAGAAGATCGCACGTGCAGGAGAAGGGATTGTGGGATAGATCTAGTAGGTAGAGACTGTGGAAGAACAGGACTGTAGGTGCGTTAACGGTCGAGACAAAGTTTCGCGTCAAATTTAAGACCCTCAGGGACGTCATGGGCCAGAGAAGTCGTGGATTTATGCTGTAAATTTTGTTACTTGAGAGGTCAAGGAACTCTAGGCTCTCAAGATCTCTGAAAGTCTTGGCATGAAGGCTACCCAGGCTGTTGCCATGGAGATCAAGATGGGTCAACTTTCTTAGATGCCACAAGGCCTCCATGGGCACGACAGAGAAGTGGTTCAATGCCATGTCCAGCCACTCTAGTTCAGTTAGGTTGTGAAAAGTCCAAGATAGAAATGGATATGTTATGGGACTCAGTGAACCCACAATGTCAACCTTCCTGATGATAAGACGTTGCAGTGATTTCTGTGGTACAAAATCCAACTTGCTATCTAGATGAAAACGACACCCAGTAAAATCAATGACTTGCAAGGATGCTGGAATTGTCTTAAGGATGTTTTCAAGACTATCACCTGCGATATTCCATCTGGAATATAACTTGTTCAGCCGAGGTATGTGTTGAAAAGTACCTGAATAACTTGAAAAGAGTGCTGCATTGTCATCTATGTTCAGTTCCTTGAGGTTCCTCAGTCCTTGGAAATGAGAATGCTTAAGAATAGTGATTCCATTGTTCTCTAGGTTCAGGCTCTCCAAATTCTGCAACTCTTGAAAGTTCCCTGGCTGTACTCTAAGATCATTTCCCCCCAGGTCCAGCTTTTGTAACGTGAGTGATATTGGAAGGAAGACTTCCTGATTCAGAAAAGTGAGATCATTCAGAATCAAATCCAGAACTTCCAGTTTTTCCAGACCGTCGAATGCTTTATTCTCTATTGTAGATATTGGGTTCAGGCCAAATGCCAGCTCCTTTAAATTTGGGAGCCCTGCAAAGATGTCGTTCTTTAACATCCTTATTTCGTTGTCTTCGAGATTCAATGTCTCCAAACTTTTTGGAAGGCAATCTAGAGTTTCTTTCTCTGGTGTTCCTAAACTGACATGGACCAGATAGAGAGAAGTAACAGTGCCGTTTTTGAGCTCACTAAGATGTCGCCGGAAGTCTTGCCTTGTTCCTATTTTGATTCCCGATAAATCCAGTTTCTTTATGCTCTTAAGCCTGGACAGGGCTCCATCTTGTATCTGTGCCAGGGTTGGTACGGTCCCGGTTATGGAGAGATGCTCTATTTTGAGCTGTTTCACAATTCTGAGATCTTCTGCAGTGATGTACAATACGGGGTTGTTATCTAGAATGATTTCCTGTATGTGGTGTAGTTCTCTGAAAACGTCTAAATTGATAGAGGAAATGTTATTGCGACTCAGACGAACATACTGTAGACTTGCCAGCGCCGATATTCCCTTGGGAATTTCCAACAGTCCATTCCAAGATAAGTCCAGCCTTTGCAGTGATTTCAGAGGAAAGAAAACCTCTTTTCTCAAGGCATTAATGTTGTTGTTCGACAAGTCTAATGTTTGCAAGCAGCCAAGACCAGCAAAGGTGTCTTCTTCAACGAATTCCACTTGATTGTAGCATACCTGTAGGTCGACAAGGCTACTCAAACCTTGGAAAGAGTTGTTCCTTAACTCCTGGAGTTGGTTGTGGCACAGTCGAAGTGAAACAGTGGTGTTTGGCAGCGGATGGGGCACCGAAGCAAGCTGTAGTCCCTGGCAGTTCACCGTAGAGCCGACAATCTGGCACGGGATCTCGGGCCTTGTTGTTGAAGTGCCTTCGGCAGACCACTCAAGTTGTAGGACAAGAAATAGTAGAAGAACAGGACTCATGTTGGCGCTGGTTTCTTGAGAAGTTTTCCCTGTGTAGTTGTCTGAATGTTGATGCAAGTCCCTTGCTAACACTCCATCCTGTGTTAGTAGCACACAATATTTGTCATAATGAAGTATACCCACTCTTTCATGCTAATATTAGCCTATTACTAGTATTAGATTTAGTTCTCCTTGCCTTCTTGGAATGACTCATGCCATGGTCATGTCCATATTTGGTCATTAAGCATAACTGTAAAATTTAGTATTATTGCCAGATTCTGCTCAGACAGTTGCAAGTCTCTATATTATTATACTACAATGTATGATGTTGGATTGTTTTCTTGAAACTATACTGAGCCATACATCAGTATTCTACATACAATGTATTTGTAGGTGGTGGGAGAGTAACTGAATAGTGAACGTTTTGTGCATGTACAGTGCTGATTTGACAATGGCTCTTGCCAAAATAGATTTCACTTCCTTAATCTGAGATGAGTTCCTGCAAGGCTAGCCTGGTGACCAGACCCCTTTGAGCTCTTTGATATCTCAGACCACCTGTCTGACCAGATTCTGGACCTACCTTTCTATACGAATGGAATAAAATTTGAGTTGAACACTGCCAACCTACAAACACAAGCCAACTATAGCCGAACCTTCTGTCCACACTCAAATGTTTTAAACTATGAAAAATAAAGATCAATATCATAATGATATACAAGTAAATGTTTTCCCAGCCCAGCTTGTGTTTGGGACCAGTGGAGTTCTACAGAGCATCAGGCATGACACAGTGTTGTTAGAAATGTCCATGTAACTTTACCTACTATTTCTTTACTGTTTCTTCATTGTTTTCTCCAGCCTGTGTTTGGGACCAGTGGAGTTCTACAGAGCATCAGGCCTGGCACAGTGTTGTTAGAAATGTCCATGTAACTGTACCTGCTATTTCTTTACTGTTTCTTCCTTGTTTTCCCAGCTTGTGTTTGGGACCAGTGGAGTTCTACAGAGCATCAGGCCTGGGAAGGCGTATGTTGAGATGTCCACCATTGATGTAGAGACAGTACAAGATGTAGCTGAGGTAAGGAAGTGTGCCAAGATGTCTTACACAGTCTGTACAAATCTCAAGTAACTTCCCATCCAGTATAAATCACAATCAAAAGTAATGCAAAACAAGATAAAAAACTTGGATTTCTTAATCAAAACTCATAGAAAAGCCTTGCGATTCACAGATCCGAGAGTTGTCAGTGATAAAGACTTACTGTATTAATAACATTTATCCTGCTAAAAAAGGTTGTTGTATAGGTTCTGGGGTTAGGTAGTAGGCAGAAGGTTAATTTGCATGCTTGAGAACGCCCAGTTTCCTTCCGTGTTAAATGCATGCATTGTCATGATGACTTCTACCCATGAACTTTCACGTGTCCTACACGACATTGCCCAGTTGTCTGTGCCACTTCCAGGCCCATCCCAGTGTCATGTAGGGAGTACTGCTGTGTCAGAGTTCACCAGGCCTGGTGCCAAAAAATGCACTGGCCACCAGACCTTCATGACTAATTGACCTGATGTCAAACTTTTGAGTGAAGGGAGGCTTTAAAAAAGCATCAGTAAAGTTAGTCACTGGTTTAGTGGCTAGCATAGTTACTGTATTTACTTTCTCAGTGTCAGCACTTTGTTGCTCTGTTGTTGGCTTGTTGTGCAGCCTACAGCACCCTCTAACAGACTGAAATGGTACTGCAGCAAATAAGCATAGCAGCTAATGAAGAGTGCCATGTATCATATTTGCCTGGTACTGCAACATAGTATTTCCAGAAAGAATGCACAGATTCATACATGTCAAATGAATAGTGACAAAATAGAAAGAATCAGCATTACAGGAAGATAGTTTGAAATTTTTCTTTATCCACAAAATAATATTTCTCGCACAACAAGAAACTGAAGATTTCCTACCTTGTAAATATTTAGAATTTTGTGGAATTTCAAAGACTTGTCATTCTTTGGTTACACCATTTTTCCCCTCAGTTCTTGTGACTCTACTGTGCTCATAAAGCTATGGACACACAAGCAAACATTCAATCACTCACAAATTAAAAGCAAAACCTCTGTACACAGAGGAAACAATAAATGGTTAGAATTTTCACCTTTCTATGTCCGCCCGGTTCCAGAGTATTGAGTCGCGTGGAGGCCGGTTCCTGGAGGCTCCCGTCATTGGCACCAGAAAACCCGCGGAGGACGGGATGCTGGTCATCGTTGCCGGGGGTGACAGATCACTCTTCGATGACTGCGAGTCCTGCTTCCTGGCCATGGGCAAAAAGGCCTTCTATTTAGGTAAGGTTCCATTGTCCTTAGAGAGGACATTTTATTTTGGAGCAGGCCTCAAGTTTGTTATAAAGAATCCATCAGACTTTGGAGGATTATTTTTTTAATTCAAATTTAAACAAACATGTATTTAGGGCTAGACTGAAATGTACACATGATGTTTTGCTACTTTCCTCAAGGGAGTTAAGCATTATTTTTCACTTATCTGTGTGTCTGTGTGTGTGTGTGTGTGTGTGTGTGTGTGTGTGTGTTTCTGTCTTTTCCGATGTAACATTTCAAAACTAAACATGTCTTGTTAAAGGCCTTATTTCGTGCATTAAAGGATGGGGTCCCATTTATAGCTTTGTGTTTTGTCAGAAAAGATATCATCTGCAACAGGCAAAATTCTGGGCCCTCTAGGGGCGGTCCTTGGTACTGCAGTGGCACTTCTGGTTTTTGTATCTTCCATCATTAAGATTACAAATGGCTGCATGTGTTCCTGTGCAGGAGAGATCGGGAGCGGGACCAGGATGAAGCTCGTGGCCAACATGGTGCTGGGAAGCGTCATGGCGGGTTATGCTGAGGGCATGTCGCTGGCGGAGAGGGCGGGGCTGGATCTTCAGACAGTCCTGGACGTCTTTAAGGAGGGGCCTCTCAACTGTGCCGCCGTCAGATCCAAGGGTGACGGTGAGTCTGGAGATGTTTTAGTTTTTTTGACGAAACAGTCAAACTTCCCCAAGCAAAGATCTCTATTAGATTAGCCCATTATCTGGCCATAACAACCGCTTTTTCTAGGGTCCCAATTTTATTTCCTTTAGACATAAGCATTAAGGGACTTGCTGAAGCCAACCACTTCTCTAATTCAACACAACTGGCACGAATTGGGACTGCAAATGTTCCAATTAAGGCCTGTATGCTCTTTTCCGTAAGGCGCTATCAGGCCTTTCAAGTCTTCTTAATCCGTAGGCAGTCACCTTAAGCGAAGTGAGGAAAGTTGTGTAAAGTGCCTTTTCCAAAGGTGCAAGGTTGGTGACTTGGCAGGATTCAAACCCGAGACCTCTTGGTTCTGAGCCAAATGCTCTGCTGTTATGCCACACAACCCAACATTGGACTGTACATACAGAAACATGGGTGAACAAACCAAAAAATACTGAATAGTAAGCCTCTTTGATGACTCGGCAGTTGTTGCATACTGAAACCACACAATACCGGACATGTTCCGGGATGTACCTGTATTGATAACTCAGCAGTTGTCATGTACCGTACCCACCCAATGCAGGATGTACCTGTATTGATGTCGGAACCATCTCAGTGACTTCCCGCATACAATACAAATCAATATCAGCTCATATTTGTGTGTGAAATCTGCTGACGCTATGATTGTAGGTACTGTAAGTCAGCTAAAATGTGCACCCTTTCATATGCTACATTGTCCTGTTACAAAAACAGATAAACCTGTAAATACAAAGCATCTGAGTGTCTTCTCTGTCATGACCAGTGGAAGAGAACATTTGTAGCTCTTTGTATTAAAACTGGATCAAGATCTAGGATTAGTATATTATAGATACACCAAAGTACACTCATTTTACAGTACTCCTACAGCAGTGCTAGGCACTTGACCAACTTTTTGCAGCAGTTTTTGCTGATTTGCATTTTGCCCAGCACACTCATCCCATCAAGTGTCCTCTTGTACCGGCTGAAGAGCACTCCACAACAAACCGTTGTGGAGCTTCCCTCAACAGATCAATGCCGAACATTGATTTTTTTTCTCACACACAGACAACAACAAGAGTCAGCAGATTTCCCTTTCTATTTCTCAGTGTTCTGACCAGCCTGAAATTTTTTCCCTCATCTGAATTTTGTTTGACGTAACATCATTTACGGTGGCTACGGTGTACGGCCAGAGGCCCAACATTCCTTGCGGGTTTGGGGGCATGCTCCGTTTTTGAAAATTTTAAATTTTTGACCCTCTGAAACACTATTTCTTACATTTTAAGGTGCAGATTTTGCTAAGCTTAGTTTGATAATACCTCTTTGCATATCGTTACATGCCAATTTTGTCTGTCAAGGATGACAGATTGGGCAAATTTTTGTCCATCATGACCAAATTTCCACCAAAATTTACACACTGCAGCCTACCAGGGACTCAAACCCAGAACCTTCTGATTATAAGTCAACAACCCAAACCACAAGACCACCTTGCACCTTGTTTGCTCCAACGCATTACAAAAGGAGGGTTGTTACATCATAACATGAGTGGCTTTCATAACAGTTATTTTTTTGTCTTAAGGAGGAAGCAGCTGTTCAGGCCTGAGATAATGATTTCTATTTCTGTACGGAGAAAAGCTTCAGGTGATTTGTGAGACTTACATGTACGTACATAACAGTGTTAAGTAAATCCAACCACATTGCGAACAGAATTTATCTCAAGATGAAAGGAACATGCTGGAAGGAAAACTTGATTCTGACTATGTTTACATGGAGACTGTGTGAACAAAGCTACAAACTCTCCCCTCAGGTGAAACCTCTAGTTATGCTTTATCTGTTTAAATCTGGCAACCAAAACATTGAATAACATTGTCTGGCGCAATGCTAGCAACCAAGACAGAAAGTAAGAAAATACAAACATAAAAAAACTTGCTAAGGTTACTGAAGGATAGCTTTATATTTTTCAAAATTTTCTACAAACTGCAAAATACAAATGTACATGATGACAGAAGTGTGGCACACTTTGAGAATTGAATTGTTAACATATAGTTGTTAATAATGAGTTTAATAACAATGTAGATATCAAGAAGACAGAATATTGCTTTTGCTCTTTTTCCTCTTCTTCTACTGTTCCAAACAAATAAGGTCAATGACCTAGACCAGATGGCTGTGACCATGGTACATGTAACTGGTGCAGACACCCTGTAGTGTTGAATTGTGTTATGTAGCCAATGGCAGGACAGAGTTTGAGGGGCTGGTCACCATATTCATTTTGTATGTAATTGCATTTGAACAAGAATAAACAGAGCAGTAGTTTGTTGGGTTGTGAAGGTAAACATTGTGCTTTTGCTTTGCAAATGTTACTTTTCCAGTTGTTGGTTTAATAAATAATGTTAATTTTCCTGTTTTGCAGCCATCCTCCACAGCAGGTTTGAGCCGTCCTTCCCCCTCAAACACCAGCAGAAGGACATGCGGCTGGCGCTGGCGCTCGGCGACGAGCTCAAACAGTCTCTCCCTGTGGCTGCAGCTGCAAACGAGGTCAGGCACCATTCAAATTTGTTCAGCAGAACGTCAGCAGAATGTACTGCACCTGTGCAAAACCCGTAATGCATTGTTCACAGCAAGTCAGCAGAACTTCTCATTTAAGGTTGTATTTGAGCATTTGAGGATGACATCCCATCTCTAGTTTTCAAATGTTGTGCTGGAAAAGACATCAGTTCTGCAAGAGGCAAAATTCAAATGCAACGTTGACCAAACATCCAATGAAAACCATGAAAAATCTGACTTCACACAGAAAGTCATCAAAAGACATAAGCAATCGACCTTTGATAGGTCAACATGACTTGATTCAATGTAATTATGAATTACCCTATTCATACATCTCTGTAATATACATGTAAATACTTGATAATGATGCAAATTCATCAACTCCAGCTTGAGTTAGTCCCTTAAAAAGCTAACATCCGAAAGTTTACACACACATGGGGTGTTGTGCTGATTTGATGTCCGTTTTTTTCCCTGCAGATGTTCAAGAGGGCGATCTCTCTGGGGAATGGAGACAACGACATGTCTTCAGTCTACAGAGCCACAGCCTTGTGAGCGATGCTTGGCAGACCTTCTGCGACCAAATTCTATCACTTGCCTCAACGGAGAGATAAAAAACGATTGGGCAGCATAGAAGGAGACAATATTCATCTCACACATCCTAATCCTCTTCTTAACCTGGCAAACTTTTGGGCAGCTTTTCTGTTACCTTCCTCGAGGACTATTGAAGTCTGCAACATCTCAGATCATTTTTTTAAATATGTTTTCTCTAATATGTTTATTGCCCATATCTTTACAGCACATAAACACATTGCAAGGGTAACAATAGCTCCCTGGGACATTTTTTTACAGGGGTATTTCATCCCCCTCCCCTGGATTTTCTGTACTATAGTTCATTTCCTAGGACTTCTGTGCATTGATATCTTCCCTGGGAACTTTTGAGACTGTAGACTTCTTGCCACATTTGAGACTGTACGCTTCTTGCGACTGTAAGCTACCCTCTAATGACTAGAAGTACATGTAGCAGTGTTCATGAGTCCCTGAGGAAGGTAGCACGCAGGTTCCCCAAACATAGCCCAGGAAAGAAGAGACTTAGACCTAATTTAAACTCGGGCAAAAACCTGACAGAATGAAACTTGCATACACACACAAGCATATGAAAACTGCGTACATCAAATTTTTCCTGCTTGTAAATCGGCCTGCTTTAACATACTTAAAGAACAAACTGTACCTTATCTCAAGGTCTGGTGGATGAGCAGAATGTACATTCTTGATGTGTGTGAAAGCAGGCTGATTTACACAGGAAAAATTTGACGTTCACAGTTGTCCTACACTTGTGTGCGTACACAGATTTCGTATTGTCAGCTTTTTGCCTAGACATGTTTTTTTACATGTAAATCGTGTCCTTGGTTGTGTGGATTGTCTTTTCCTGATGACAGGTACCAACCAGTTGAGGCTATTCACAGATGAGACAGAGGTCTGGAGACAAACTTGCAGCAGATAACAAGGGACCGTTGTATATTCCAATATAAAGTACGACAGAACAACTTGTGTAAGTTTTTTTGTTTTTTAACAGGATCTTTGCGAATTTCCATCTAGATAGTGACTTGTTCTACAGGAATAGTAGTATTCTCAAGAATGAGGGCACAAGTGCAGCCTGTGATTCTTCTCGTTATATTCCTACTAGTACTACTAGTACTTATGTTTTTGTAGAAACTTGTTAGCCTCCACCAGGCCTTTCTAAGGTGTTACAGATAGTAAATTTTAGCAAAGATGGGGTGAATAATTGGCAAGGAGAGTGAGACCACAGTAAGGATACATATGTAACATTTTACCTTAGAATGCAGCAAATGCATGGGAAAATGACAGACTATGGTGGGCTAACTCCCCCGGCAAGTTATTTTCTCTGTGATACTAAATTTTACTATGTTTCACCCAGCCTAATCGGTCTGGTGGAGGCTAGAAATGTGTAAGGCACATCTGTGGTTTCATTGTTGTACAACTCTGTACAGTATGATGGTGGAACGTTGGCCGGAGTGATCCCTTGGGTTTTGGAAGACTGTTAGGCTAATGCAGTGTTCTAGCTAGCCTAAAAAATTTTTCCATCACCCCAGAAAAATTTTTAAACCTTCACCCACTGAAATGCCATTTCCTGCATTTTGAGGGGCAAATTTTGCTGATGAAGTTAGCTAAGTTTAATGGCATTTCTTTCCATATCTTTGGACGTCAATTTTTGTCTGTCAAAGATGATGGATTGGGCAAAATTTTTGTCCATTATGAGTGGTAAAATTCCTTCAAATGATGGAAAAATGGACGGCTGGCTAGAACACTGGACTAATGACAATACAATACAGCAGCTTGAAAGAGACAGATCCAAAACAATTCTAAGACTGTGAGGGTGTCGTATTTTGTGAAGAATGCAGGCATATTCCAATTATTCTATCTTTAATTTTCAAAGAATTTGGCTGACAATTTTTAGGAGGTAAATATGAAGCCGTGCATAAGACAAAGCAAGTCTCCCTGTACATACACATGTCTTGGTAGTCCTTCGTCGCCGAAGATGACTGTCAGTATGCTCAATCACGGGGGATGAGACCTCATGTGGCTTACACATGTACTACATACACATGTACTAGACATGTAAAGCAAGGGAGGGACTTGATCTATGTCTGGTTGTTGTTTTCATTTCGGGAATGAAAATTAGTCAGTTTCAATCTCAGAAACCTACTCTGTGGTAAACAAGTGTTTAGTTTTGTCAACAAGTGTTGTTTATTTGGATGCACCTCAAAGTGTACCATGCTGATGTGTGTAGGGCCCAGATGTGTATTGCACAATCATTGGAGGTCGCTGTAAGATTTAAGATGTAGGAAAGTATGAATGAATACTTCTGATTGGCAGCTTTGTGCAGTTTGAAAGGGGGGAGGGGGAGAATATTGTGTTATACATACAGGTATATACAATGTATATTCAGTTCCTTTAGTATTAAGCTGAAGTCAGACTCAAGCAATTGTCTTCTTCAGAATTCTACCATCCTAGATGAACTTTAAAGACAAGAACTTCTTAGAGGTATCCGATCTAATTTCAGGGCGGCAATACATAAAATATTCTGGATGATGAAATCTGTCAGATATAGCTATTTCACATTTTCATCATCATTTGATAACTTGAAGCATTTGAAATAGCCCCAAAACAAGGTACGTTAGGCATTGCTTACATTCTGTTTGTCACAATTTGCATATAACTTGAATGTGATTGATAATGGACGACATTGTAATACTAATAAATTTTTTGCCTTTATTAGGAAAAACTGAGGTCAATAAACAAATAAGATGGCGGATCAAAAGAAAATTCTAAGCTGGTGGAAAAGATTTTTATGATCATTGAATCATTGGCCCAAAGAGCAGCAAATTGTACTCCTTTGGTGGAGTAACTCCCCTGGCATGTCCTTTTGGCAAATTTTTACTCTTTCTAGACGCCTCTGAAGCCTGCTAGAGGCTATGATGAGATGACAAATGTTTTGGTTCAACTGAGGAAGTCCCTGGTGACCATACTATATGTACATGTATGTCCTCAAACAGTTCTAAATCTTCCTATTGGTTAATGGAATTGTAGAATTTGATTTTAGTCACTAACGGCTTCAACGGACATTTTTTTCTTCAAATTGAAATGAAGGCAAGAAAAAAATAGAACTGTAGGAAAATCTCCAGATGTATCCAGCTTCTCTGTCACGAGGACTGCCCTGGAAAATAAGAAAATTAATGATGTCAGGAATGACAAAGTTTTGGCTAGCCAAACATGTACAATGTAGCCTGTGTGTGTACGTCCAGATGAGAGTTGTGTTAGGTACAGTATACCGTACGTGGATGATGTTTTGTAAGTATACATGGAAACTAGTAGCTGAGTCTCTGTTTTAATGAATTCATTATTAACAATGGCTTATTTTTTAGAACAATCTCCACCCTAAGTGTATGAAAGTGTGCACTGATACTGCAGATATATATATAGTCAGTATAAGTTATCATGATGATAAGTTAGGAATAGTCCACGAGTGTGCAAGATAGACCGAACAATCTGTAACTGTTACTAATGTTACAGAGTATACTCTAACCCTACGTTGTAGTAGACATTGTTAGAACAATGTTTACTGACTGGATCACCGACTGTTTCTGTTAGACATTGTTATGTGATAGCATTTGTACAGTAAAGAAGAAAACTGGACGAGAATCAGGAGCCATTACAGCTCTCTTTTGTTGTCTCCATCTGTTGTCTCCATTATTTTTAGTCACACATCATCATCACACTCACATGATAGATCTACATCACCCAACCAGCTATTCCTTACTGCAGTAACCACTTTTTCCATTAGAAAGAGCTCATGATACATTACAATTGTAAACAGCGTATGTATGTCCCAGCGTATGTCCAGTCTTACTAGCTTTAGTCCAATTCGAGTCCCCTAAGGACCAATTTTTAACTCACTCGTCGTCATCGCGGGAAGTTTTCCATCCGTGGCTTCCTGAATTCCCCCCATGTCAACCACTAATTCCTGTTGGCTCCCCTCCACCCACTTGCTGTCAACATACTCTGTCCATATATCTTCAAAGGCATCCAATGCAATTTGAGAGTGGGAAAACACATATTCTGCATAAGGACATATGCCTGATGTTGGCAATTACTGTCATTTCTTAGCACATTTTCGTTATCATTTCATACTTGAAGTGTTTGAATTTATCTTTTTGGTACCACCAATAGATAGCTAGAACCAACCAACGATACCAAACAGACAACCATTTTCCATCAGCAACATCACATTTTTGCCTCAGATATCTATGTATGCTATGAGATATGACTGATTCACTTCTCTACTGTAAAAACAATGAAAAGAAAACTGGTGTGAAAATCCAGTTTTGCTGCCCTGAAATCGCTTTGGGCAAGGAGCTTCAAATGGGTATGAACAGACAACCAAACGAATTTTTCTCTCCATTAGGTCCATTGGTGTAAAGTAAAACATGCCAGCTGTTGATGAGCAGCGTTGTCAATACGCCTCCTTTTGACTTGAGATGTAAACCTGTAGGTAGGTAACATCCCACCAGACCTGCCCTGCGCCGGAGACCGATCTATCCGGGCTGTCAGCCGCACGTGCGGCGGTCGTCTCGGTCCGCAGATTATCCCTTTCCAGGGCAGGGACCTCCGTTCCTTTATAGCATGCTGAATAAATAGTAGACATGCCGGTATGCATCGACTTAAAAAGCAATTTAACTGGCAAGGGGAGGCTTTAAACTGTATACTCTATAGCGGACTAACTCCTCTGTATTTGACCAAATTCTATTCTGTCCCGAAGCCTGGTAGAATCTGGCAGTGGTAGAGGCTAGGGTATTATACTCTCTGGTCAGAGAGTCAGTCACCATGTCGCACCTTCTATTTGACCAATTTGTACAAACTTTTTCAGCTACAAAAAGAATTGACAATTGTTTTGTTTTTGTTCGGAAGGCGAGCACGTGTATATTGCCCCGCCCATATCACACCCACCCGGGGCCGGCCAACCGGACTGACCACACCATAAACTACTCTCCAAGCAGAGGTTTGGGTTTTGGCCTATTTTTGGCGTGTTTCTATGCTTATTTTGTCGGGCTTTCTTTTTTGCACGGATTTCTCTTTTTACGGGTTGGCGTATACGTAAAAAGATACCAGTGCAAAAAAGAAAGCCCGATAGAAAGCGTAAAAACAAGCCAAAAATCTTGAAGCCAAACCCAAATTTACAGAGTAATCATATCTGCCCAGAATCTCCAAGCAGATGTTTTGGTGGCTAAATAGGTTTGGTACTGGTCAACATTTGAAGCTCCTTGTTTCTTTTTTGACGTCTTGAACTGGTCTCTCATTTAAGTACTTTCTCAGGGAGTTCTTGCTCGTCAAAATTACGGGTTCAATGCTTTGGAGGATAAACACAGAGCTGCTGACATTTTGAAGCTCGCCATGTCATGCATGTAACGTTACGTGTACGTGCAACAAAGCACGTCCTCTAGCTGTCAGTCGCGACAGCGGTTAGGAGTTTAAAACAGACTGATGAAAAGAAGGTGAACGTTGGGAGTGGGGCAGTGACCGTCTTTAGAGCTAGTCTCCAAAGAAGGTTATTTGGTGTCTACAAATCACTTTGTATTCGCGGTTTTTAGTCGGTCACTAGTTCTGTCCAGCCATGTTGATTAGATTATATGGATGACATTCTCTGGGAACCCCAAAACTGATGCGAGCGTGGGAGTAAAAAAAAATGGACAAAAAAAGTTGCCTTCATTATGAAATCTACGTGGTCATGAAGTGAACAGATGACTAAACATACAGAGTATTTATGGTATGGCGAATAAATGGACTCTTCGTTTTCATTTCTTCGCATCCTTCTTTTCTTTTAGAATCGTTGTTGGCATTCTACGACATTAGTATCGTTTTCCAATATTGTTTTTTTCAATTTACGGCATATATTTCCTCATTTTGCAGATGCCTGGTGTGATTAACAGTATGGTCGAAAACGTTTTTTTTTTGGAAACGGACGAAAATTCATGCGCCTCTTTCTTCTGCATTTGCCGCCTTCGCGAACATGTAGTTCCGCGAACATGTCTATTTTTCTCAGACCGCGAAATTTTGCTACGGCGAATGTAAATGAATGAATGACGCCCTTTATAGCACATTTTTGCCACACTAGGCTTAGTACAGGTCACAACAAAACATGATGAACAGATACAGTTAACAGATACAAAGTGAAACTAACAATCGTTATTGTAGAAATACAAGAAAATATATGTTTTTCGCTTATATTAGATATAATATCCTTGGATTTACAGTATCAAGTTGGCAAGACAGTATCAACGGGACCAAACTCACACCACTTGTTCCTGACATGAAAAGATACCGGCCACCATATAGCATAGGGACTCGTCATCATCTGGCCTGATTTGGGGCTATTTCAAACGCCAAACATGAAATAATACGACGAAAGTTGCAGTGAATGTTTATGTCTGACAGATATTCTCATCCAGAATATTTTTGTCTTGCCTTTCTGAACTGTGGATGCCTCAT